AAGAACGATAATTTTCTCGGCAACCAACTGTAACGAGCACAATAACAACCTCAGCTTGCCCAGGATCTTCGCAACTGGATCGGTGGATAGAGCATAAATTTTACATACATTTTGTCTTAATTTACATAAGTTTACTATTTGATGGGTGGCTTACCCATGGTTCACACGTCCCGAGACCCCTTCCCCTAAATATAGCCACATCCTTGCTCGGGGTTGTTGTTTCGCATTTTTCGATAATGTCACCTGCAGCTTCCATTCATTCTTTGCACCCTAGTTTTAAGCGGAAAGGCGGGTTACGAAGTTGTCGTCAACGGAAATCTCTTCTTGGATGATGAGACAAGGACACCTACTTTAGCCCCGTCTTAAAGGAATCTTCCACGGACCATGGACCAGTGGGCGGGACCGGAAGTGGTTTTGCGACGAAATGCATGGTAGGTACGGATCCACGTTCATGGGAAGGTTTGAAGTGAATCCTGTTCACGTTCGTGCGTTCGACACGTGGATCCGTACCTACCATGCATTTCGTCACAAAAACTTCCGGTCCCGCCCACTGGTCCATGGAAGATTCCTTTAACCCTTCTTTTCGCATAAGCCTACATAAAACCTACCCTGTGTGGCGGCAACAAATACACTGGCCGTCCGTTATGGGTTAAAGCTTCCTTCACAAGCGTAGTTGATTGTCCGGAATCAGAAAATTTTCATGCATAGGAAACTGCAACGTTGCGATTGGTTGCAGTTACAAGCTGTGAGCAGTGGCCGTCTGAATCAAGGACGGCCCTATTTCTTGGAAGTTTGCAGCAATAAGCTCCATGAAACGAAGATTTGTTCGAGTGTAAGTAACGTTTCGACTACAAAACAGCGTACCACTTTTCGCCCTTTTATGTGAGTTTACCAGCCACTCATCACAGCCTGTTCAACGTGTCACTTGAAAGGTACGTCGGAAGCGTGAGCACACTGTATGTCTACTGCAAACCAACGAGCACTGACTTACGAGTGGTCTTCAAGATCTTGGACCGGTGAATTAATACGACCCTTGGTGGCAGCTTAGTGTGAAGATTGATAGTGAACGTCGCTGACCGAGCGGTAAAAGGAGGATACTAGAAGAAACCAAAAAATTTCTATACATTCCCCCCTCCTCAAAAACGAGAGGGGAAAAGTCGATTAAGTAGCATGATCCCCCCATTTTTGTAATTATTACCGTCACAACTCAACTCGGTTCTACATAGTAGGGTGGTGCTTTAGGCTCGCTTTCCTTATCTAGTCAATTTTGATTAACACCCTAAAGTGAAACTTCTGGCGATTTATTGACTAACGATTTATCTTCGCCCAGGCAGATATTTTCATCCGGGACCAATTCACCAAAAACTTCGACAATATAATCAAAATCCTACCTCCACTCTCATCTGTGTAGACAACATCTCAACAGTGGAAGAGAGGTGTGCACTTGGGTGGAAATTGTCAATGGCATATCTAGAAGTAGCCAGCCAAGTGATCACAGAAAGTCAAAAAAAAAAGTTCGAGCGACCCACCTTCGTTCCTCACCGGTCACCAAATCGCACTTGATACCCAGTTCATTACTTCTTGTAAACACTTCTGAAGCCAAGAGCTTGAGAGGTCCGCAATACACCCCACTCTTGGCTTCCCCAAACCTAGAAAAAGTCGTGTTCAATAGTAGCTAGAACAAAGAATTTGTAATTTTGAGGTCTGGAATCTCACCGTTTCAATGCATGATAAGTCTTCCCTGAATTGGTCGGCCCAGCGTGGAAAATTATCTTCCGCTGGACAGTACGAGCGTCAGGGTACCAGTTGTGAGGTTGAGTTAGATCAGAAATCATTCGTAAATCATCCATAGCTTCCAAATGTGGGAAAACCTGGAAATGGTAAGCTGTTTCTTAAGAATAGATCCAAGCACACGAAAGTTGGATGGGACAAGTGCACGAATGGCTTGGTTGAAATGACTATTATATCAAGAAACAATGAGAATTATTAATTCCATAGAGGGTAGAAGTGCGTATTGCTCGACGCCAACAATAATCCCAAAATTCTTCATAGAAATTCTCGTTAGAACTGTTGTAGACGATTCTTCATATTATGCATACCTTTTCTCAGGCCCTGCAGGACTGTGGATTCAGCAGGCCAAATTAATGCTCGCCATTTTCATTTCAGAAATCAATCGATACTTGGTTCCATTCTGGCAGCTGTCTGACGTTTCTCCCCGAAGGTATCCCTTTCGTACGTATGTGCACAACTGGGGCTCTATGGGTTAATTAAACGCTCACAAGAGTAAAGAAATCAAGGCAGTATCTTTGAGTTTCTCTATACAATTTATTTTATTCCAATTTTTTCCATGGTCAATATTTCTTATCCACCGCTCAGGTTCGCCCCGGTGTCACGTGCGTAAATTACGACACACAGGGGTTACGACCAGAGTCAACCCTGCGTTGCGCAGTTTTCTCAACGGCCACGTTGCGCAGTTTCGCCCGATTAGACACGTTCTCTCGCGCGAACATTCACACTCGCATGCTCGAGCCGTCTGCGTCTCCGCCCATACAGCGTGCGTTGAGGATCTCTCAACGTGCCGTTGCGAACTGCGCAACGCAGGGTTGACTGGATAGACTCGATCACCGATCTAACGAGCTCTTCTCTAACGAGGAAGGCCTCTCAGAGCTTTTTCAAAACGGTTTCTTGCATGCTATTGGAGCTCTCACGTAGACTACAACACTGTGTTTTCATTTTCGCTGAAAGCAACCCTGTAAGCCAAAAAATTATTAAGATTGGGTGGTTTTTGCAGCCTTGGAGAACGTTTCGGGCTTGCAGAGAAGATCACCTGCATAATGAAGTGTACAGGGTGGGCCAAAATTATAGGACCAAGACAGTGTGTCGTTAAAACACATGGTAGCTTGATGGAACAAACAACTTTAGGGAAGTATTACTAACTTTTCCCTCAAAGTAATTCCAGAATAGAATTGAGATCTGCCACCTGCCCCCGTTACCGAGCTTCAGTGAATTGGATGGGGCTTCGTGGACACCACGGAGGCGCCTGAAACATTTTCGGCCTTCTTCTCTGCTTCTCGGTATAAACTTTTGTTTTGATTTGCGCTGGCTCCACGGTGTGAAAACAGAATTAGAGGTATTAGGTGGGAATGGTATCCATTGTAACAATTTCGTTCAACAGCGAGGGATCTCGAAATGCTTTTTTAGGGGATTTTCGCTCTATTCTTGGGTGCTTGGTCCTGTAAAAAGTTCCAAGTATAGTACTCAAGAAGCTTCTATCCCTACAGATGTGGAGCCTTTAGAGTGTCTGGCTGGGTTTTCACATCAATTTTTTCATTTTGGGAGTACGAAAGTCGACAAGGGGAGACCTAGTTTCTGCATCTGATAATTGTCCTGGTGGTAACTGTAACTTTCGAGCCCGAATTTTCCATCTGTGGTGGTTCCAAACTTATTGAAGAGTTGAACTGTTGCTCATAAGAGCTTCCCTGATACGTTAGACTGCCGCTAGATGTAACGTGCCAGAGCCCTAGTGAGTTCAATTTGAGGACTGACGTAAGGTGATGTAGTTATTTCACTAGTTTTGAGAACTGCATGAAATTTGGTTTCATTAGGAAGAAGACATTGTACCCTCTCACATAGTGCACAGAAAAGGAGATGAAAATGGAGCGACTCGGAAAAAAGTGGATATGACCGCGCGCGCACGCGGTCCTCATAATTTTGGACCACCCTGTATATGAAGATGATGTCGGGAAAAACGTGAAATTTTTCTCAAGATTGAAGTACTGCCAGCAGTAGTGCTACAAAATTGTGGAGGTTTCATATGCGTCGTCGGTATACTACCACTATAAGCGAACGGATGGACAAGTGGATAGCGCGGCAGACTCGGGAACACACGGCAGAAGGGACTTTGTGGTTCGGCTCCACGACACCTTTTTGCATTTTTGATTTTCACCTCCAAATCGGCGCCAAATTGCTTCAGCGTCAAAATTAACGCTATATTCACAATCAGGACCATCAGTAGCCCCTGCAAATGGGTTTTCTATCAAAAACTGGCGGAATAAACTCGCAGCGCCAAATGGTTCAGAGGGCAAAAACGAATGTCATATCCGTGATCAAGACCCTGATTTACCCCCGCAGACCGAATCTCAGGGAAAATCGAAGTTGATCTAGCTTTCATAGAGAACATCCCCCACTAGTTCTTGAAATCGCTCAGCTATCGAAATGAGGCCTTGCGAGTGGAAGAGCCGTGGGATCCAATATACCACGTCCTGATGGAAGGGAAGAATCTGTCGACTTCAAATCATGCGTGTCCATCACCAGCTTGGGTGTCTGCCATTGTCCATTTCAGTAGTGGAACTTCTCATTATTTGAGAAGGATAACAAGGAATTCGTTTCCAGTTCACCGGCTGAGGTACTTACGGGCTACTGACCTATCAATGGCCAATTTTTCGGATCCAAGGTCAAAATCTCAATTTTCTCTAGAACTTCTAATTTAGGAATATCGAGTGCCCTGATCACGAATATGACATCAATTTTTTCCGATAGCTTCCAATTTACGCCACTTCGGCGCCATTTGGCGTCCTTCTGGCGCTACAACTTTTTTCCGCCAGATTCTGGCAAAGTTTGAGTGCAATACTAGATGGTCTTAATAATGGACAAGATACTTAACCCATTCGTGACAATGTCAGCCACCGGTGGCTGACAAAGCTCTCACTCGGGACAATGGTATTACTGTGGCTGCAGGGCTTGAAATGGAATTTGGAAAGTTTTCTTCCATGGAAAGAATCTTCATACCCTCGCTCATCTACGCCAGCCCTGGGCAGAGGAAATCTCCCTTCACTCGGATTTTATTGAAGAAAAATCTTCTGACGCTGCTGCTATTGCGCATCCTGCGCGTAGGTCCGTGATGGTGCTAAATTGGAATAGTTGGCGCTATTCGAAGCACGATTTGGAAGCTCTCAACAACTAGAATGCACAAATTTTGGTGGTCAGAGAGAATTAATAAAAATTGGCTTTCTTATCATTTCTTGGAATGCAGGGGCCACCAACGAAACGAACCAGCATGGTGTCCATGGGAAGAACCGCATGCAAAAATTGTTTTGAAAAAAGGCTCTCCAACCACATGACGACCTTCCTGTAAGAGCCGGCACTACCACTGGCCCGATCTTCAATTTTAATAGGACATGTCGTGGAAAGTGCAGATTTGAAAGGCAGATTTGCTAACGTTCAGCCAAGTAAAAGTGTCTTCTGCCTTCAATCGCGAATGGCCTGAATGGCCTGCCTCTTTGTTAACAGACAGTAATGTCAGATTGCAATAAAGAGCGCAAGAAAAAGAGAGAGCAATGCCTCGCATTCTAGTGATAAGGTAACTGCAAAACCCCGGCTACAAGAATTCTCTAGGCGTATATAGATGGACGGATGTTTGAACTGGACAAAAACTTTCTAAAATGAATTAGCATACAAACTCACTTTACGTGCATGAGCAAGGAAAAATGGGAAAAGACTCTCGACATCGGTACTTCCTCTGATTATGTCTTGAAAGAGCACCAACAAAGCTGGCTCGACTCCTCCCTTAAAATCCGAATAGAAATGTTGTTATGAAATGGAAACAGCTTTTCTTACTTTTTCGCAAAGGCAGTATTCGCGGAATGACCTATAAGCCGTGACAAATAACTTGTTGTTGAGGCCATTCTCAGTAGAAAGGTTTCTGACAGCTTTCCGACGAAAGAATTCATCCAGAGCCAAGCTCATATTTGTCTGAAAACAAAACAAGACTTTAATTTACCTCTACAAACCTGGAATGCGGCTATATTTACTGAAACACTCACAGCATCTAGACCTTGTGTCCACTGCTCCACACCAATTGGCTGATGTGCGAGGCGGTGCGACTACGCGAGGAACGACGAGATCTTCAATAGCACTTCCTCCGCGATCGGCCGGTACACCTGTGATGCACATGTACCATAGCAAAGCGTTTATACAAGAATATTTAATAGTACCTGTGATTCTCCGTCGTCGAGATGACGTCGATGAATTTGACTGGTTCCTTACCACATACCCCTGTAGCCACGTGCTGCACGACGCGGATGCTGCCAGTAGCATGTCCGATGGCATGGACCTTCGTAGCAAATAAGTGAGACGTATGCCATTTTGGCATGACATCTGAATACAATTAAATTGTAGCGTAGTTTAACCAGCAATCAAGCTCCACAATCATGGGAGATCTCAGGAAATGTAGACCGCTTTTCCCAAGTGTTACATGATGAAATTTTCTGTACTGCCGTGAGCCCACGTTCAAGTCAAATCATCGCATCTAGCTGATTTGAGTCTCGCTAGGCCTTATTAAGACTGCATTTGGTCAACACGATTATCTCCGAGTCCTGTTATTGGCTAAGGCTACCATTCTCCACAGTAAGTTCATTTCAAACTGCTTTCCGACACATTCTACCATAATTCAACGAGTTGATAGGATGTGTTTATACTCAACATTCTCATCTTCGTTCTACCATAAGAACTTTAACTGTAGACCAAATGCCCGAAAAAACTGAAGTATCAGGTCATGCTTTACAGTTCGACTACGGCTCAGATACATGAGATGCAATCGTGCATCACGTATCTACGTCACCCTCGCTGCAAAGTATGACCCGACACGAAAGGAGGAGGATTATTGGATTCATGGACCGTGCGAAAATTTCACTGAGAACGTCTCCCCCGTGCTTCCACAAATGTCAGCACATCCTGTCTTAATGAAATCACTTGTACAGACCGACTAAAAACAGTGACACTTGAAAAATCTTCGCGACACTTTTACCATGGAGAGAAACTGCTGGAATCTCGGACGAAAAAGTAAATCAAAGTAAGAAAGAAAGGAAGCAAGGGCTAATGAGCTATCTCTATCTAAGATTGCGAGAGCGCTGATCAAATAAATATGCGGAGCTCGGAACCACTAACATCATTCAGATTCT